AGCTATGAATACACCTCCGCCACGCTCATATCCGCTTAACAAAGAATTGCGATCTTTACGATAAATAGTATAAGTAGAATCTAATATTTCACCATCATGTATAGAGGGGTGCAGCCAAGATTCTGTAATGCAAATGACATCGTGTTCGCTAATTGACGATGCGGCTAGGAAGCTACTGAGCTTAGTGCGTAGACCTCGGACGTTCTGATAATACACACTGAGATCCATTAACTTCTTTTTGCTCACTGTTCGTACGAAAATTCTTTTTTACTATTTTGGGAATTCCATTAACGTATTTAATAGTTTTGCTGGTATCGCCACTTTTTTCCAGGGACTCGAGTTTAAAGCGTAAGTTTTTAAGGTGCAATTGTTGAGTTGGAGTGACATCTGGTTTGAATATAACATTGTTTCCGTCAGTTGGCTTATTTCGGAGAATAGCGATTGCATCAGATGCCGAAGGTGTGACGACTAGAAGTGGTCTCGGGTGACCAGGAACAGGGCGTCCAAGTCTACGTAATTTAAGGTTGGCAACACCAACTGACAAATCAGAAGGAGGGTATATATAAACGAGGTTGTAAAAGGGGCGTGGCACATCCCGTAGGCGTGGAAATTTGAATCAGCCATAAATTTAGAACCATAAGTCACATGAACTTGAAATTTGGTATTCATACATAGGTGTACATAGTTATCTAAATATGGGAGGTGTCCAGAGTAAAGTATATATAAATGAGTTTGTAAAAGGGGCATATACGTATATATATTTATCTATTAGATAACTCGGATATTTAAAACTGAGTGTTTTTTTAACCTTACCATCTTTAAATTAGTTTGAAATGGAAAGATTAAATCGTTTTTTAATCTCGCGATGCTGTTAAAAAAGGTTCGTTCATAATGAATAAAACTCCTTCCGAATTAAGCATTCTACTAGAAAAGTGCAGCTAAATAAAACAGCTAATCGAATAGGCAGCTAAACGGAATGTACCGTAGTAGAATAATTTTAATTTAGAAATTTGATCGTTACCTTAATCCATCTAATATTATTAATGGAACAAAATTTGTAGTACAAGTGATAATCAAAATATTTTAGTTATAGCACGATAAAGCCAAAAGTATGGCTCCTAAGGATGCCTTAATGTAGACAAAGAAAATGGTTTGTCTCCTTTAAATTATGCTGAACTGAATATTTGTATTACAGTTTTATATTTTGATTTGTTTACCCCGAACGACGTCGGGTACTGCTAGTAGAATATATAATGTAAAACAAAATATTTTTTAAAAACAAGCTTTTATTTAACATGTACAATCAAAGGAATAAAATAAAATAGTGCAACAAATGTTTTTTTTGTATCAAAAGATTTCTAAACTGCACTAAAATTAATAAAATAAAATAAGTTAAGCTTTCGTCAAAGTTACTAAACGTCATTATGGACACTTTACCTCCGGTTTGTGTTAACCGCTTCTGACTTTGAACATCGAATACGCAGGTTCGATCCCTGCTGAAGTCTAGAAAACAGAAGTCTGATGAGGAGATGTGGTGATCTCCGAAATAGTGCTATAACTTCTACCGCTTAGACTTTGTTGCTTTTTCAATTTTTCCTAATAAACAATCGTGGTACAAAGCTCAATAAAAATATTAAAAATAATGTGTTAACCGGATATTGAACGGCCCTTAGTCAATTGTTGTCGTTTGACAGCGTGAAACTCTCTGCAGTGCGTTTTACGATTTAGTTTCAGCATTCTACGCAAAAATTTGTTAATCAAATAATTTGGTGTTAAAGACATAAATCTCTAGCAACGTTACAAAAATTTAAATTTCCCCTGCATTCGTTTTAAAAGCGTACATAAGTGCATATGTACGGATATACAAATCTGCGATGGTTTTGCAAAACCGCCCATCGACCAATTGCAAAACCGCCTATTTTAGGTATTCAAATTTTTTATTAGAGCGAAAAAACGGGTTTTCTTTGAAGGCATTGCCTTGATAGGCGGTATTTTCCCTAGCCATTATTTTACAAATCTATGGTTTTAGTAACGATTTTACGATTCTTATGCATAAATCTCGAAGCCTGGAGTTCAGGATTACCAAATCTCGTTTTTTTCACAATGGCTATTCAGGCGGTTTTGCAACTGGTCGATGGGCAGTTTTGCAAAATCATCGACGATATGTATGTATGCTAAGCACTTATGATAGCTTTAAACTTTAACGTTTTCACTGCTCCCTATGTTTGTCTTCATCTTAAGCAGGGATCACTCGATTTGTACATTTTGGCAGGTACAGAGTGGTGTTGTTCGGAAATTCTTTTTTGAGCTGAACTCAAATTTCCAAACAACACCACTCTTTCACTGCCAAAATGTACAAATCTGTACAAATGTACAAATCGTGTGATCTTCACTTAACAGCTTTTTACAACGCTTTTCTCAACCTGCAATGTTATATGTCCAGACTAGGGATGTTGCAAATGTGGAATTTTAGACATCCGCGGATGCGAATGCGGATGCGGATGTCTAACAGCTAACATCCGCGGGTGCGGATGCGAATGCGGATGTCAAGTATTTTCAAGAAAAAATTAAATTCAGTTATTTAGGTAAACAAAAAATGGAAAAACTAGTAATTTTTAATAATGTTTATTTTATTTAGTACTTGAACTTAAAAATTGGAACACTATATTTAATAAAAAGTAATGAGACTTGCATTGGGGCTGAAAATGTTGGATGTATCCTTTTAACTTTAATCTTCATTTGAAGAATCTAGCATAATGGCGAGATCGTTGTTCAAACACCGCTTACAAGCCGAACCAGGTTTTAAAAGGAATTCTTCATTCTCATTTCTTTGGCTGTTTCAGAATTTGGGAATCCTGTAACGTATTTAGTTTTTGTAACTCATTTTTAATGCTTTCTTCTGTGACAGGTTTGTGCTCATAGTGACCTAAATATATAGGTGGATTTGGAAAATAAATTATTATTTTCCAGTGTGAGGACCCCGGATCCTGCGGCCCTGGGCCCCACAACAATTATTTTATATACATATATAATTTGTATTAAATTGTATATTTGGAATTGTAAGAAAAACGCTTTGCATATATGTATGTACACGCACATAATGGAATTTGTTATTTGAATTATACTAGTTTTACTTACATACACATGTACATACATATATTTAATATATTACATATATTTTGAATTATTCAGCCCTATTCTGCATTTCGATTACGTTCCCGCATTCCGCTCCGCTGGAATCGAACTTAGGTATTCTGCGTTACGATCGAAACGAAAGAAGAAGAGGAAGAGAGAAAACATCTTTCGAAATCAGCTGTTTGCCTAGGAATGTGTGAAATCGAAACAAAACAAATAAATATTTGCCACCAAACTAAAGCAGCATATGAAGTTAAAGTTTGTAAATATTTTAAAATAACTAATATCACTGTAATTTAACTAGCATTACTGTAATTTAAAAATAAAATTTAAGTGGATACATAATTATGAGAATGAAATCTATAGCCGCGGATATTTAATTTAAAAATAAAATTTAAGTGGATACATAATTTAAGAATGAAATCCATAGCCGCGGCGTTATTGCTTGAAGAGAAGAACGAGTCCCAGATTGCTGATGCGGAAGTTGAAAGGCGGAGATTTAGGGACATGTTTGATCTTTTTCAGATGAGTGAAGAGTCATAAGGAATTCATCTTGAACTGTATTACTCATCGCTTAAAGTCAGTGAAATTATAAACGTTGTTTGAGCACTCCACAACATTTGCATTTACTACAGAGTGGAAGATTTGGACGCAAATGAATCCCATTTCCAAAGCCGTCAGGAGAAGGGGAAGAAAAAAGCTTATCTTTCCATAGCAAATCGAATTCCAGACAACATACGCACCTCTTTTTAAAAAGTTAGTAAAAACGAGTGCAATACTAAAAGCATCTTTTTTATGTAACTTCACATTTTATGTATGTATGTATCTATTCGCATACATCTATTAATTTTATATAAAAAAAATATATTGTATTCAGTGCATTTCACAGTCTTATTTATAGATAACGGAAATAAAAACGCCTGGACTTCCACTTTGCAATATCCCTTTTGGTTGCCATTATTTGAGACAATTTTTCGTATTGCCCGTATTACCGCTCGCGAAAACACAGAAATCGAGAAAATTCATTTATGATGACTTTTACAATCATGCACAGTATATTTAACTTAAATTTTTTATAAAATTTTATTATTTAAACCCACGGAAATAACAATTGAAAAGTTCTCCGTCAACAAATTTGCAACTTAGAGAAACGGAAATACGATCGAAATGTAGAATAGGTACAATCGTAAATGTTTAAGCGACTTATGCATTTCCCGCATAAACAAAGAACAGAGAACACACACACGCACTTGCATTGCACTCCCGGCCAAAACCAAGCGCAGCGAATAAACCCAGCAAGAACAGTGATAGTCATTTGATTAATCATGTGTTACTCAATGGTGATGGAAATGTCCATCAAGCACTCCCATCACGTTCTTAAGGCCAATGTGAAAAAAATGATGGAAACAAATGTATACGTGTAATTTTTTATCTTCTTTCAACTTATGAATTTTATGGCCTTATTTAAAATATAGCTGAACTGCTTACTCCACCGTATCTCGACAGTCAACGATGACGTAGATACCTATCACGGCTGATCCATCAAACTTGATGTACAGACTTGTCACTACTGATTAATGAAATTTGATGTATGAACATATCACAGTTGACCGATCACACCTGATGTATAAACCCATCATGGCTGATAAATCATATTTGATGTGCAAACCTATCACAGGTGAGCAATCATGCTTGATGCACATACCCATCACAGTTGATCCGAATATTTAAAAAAATTTAATACATACATTAATTTTCACTTCACATTTATTACATATGTATGTACATACATACGTTTTTAAATTAATTAGAAGAAATTAAATTATACAAAACTTAAAAGGCATATTATTTCAAAATAGTTTAAACTTAAGGCAGAAGATACTAAAAGATAAAAAAAGTTAATTTTGTTTCCCCTTTTTTAAATATTTTTTTTGTTGAACGCGATGGTGGCTCAGTTCTACCGCCTTTCGCACACTTCTTTCGAAGTTGAGGGCCCCTTGTTTCTGGAATACATCTGAAATGAAATGCAAAAAGATATCTTATAAAAATAGCTTTTCTTTGGTAGATTAAAGAAAGTACCTCGCAGAATATTATTAATAATATTAAGTTTATAAAGCGCCCATGTCCCGTCCCAATTGTAGTTGTGAAGCAGGTCATCCGTGAAGATGCCGCGAATGACAGTGCCGACATCTTCTGATGTCCCCTTCATTTTGTTCAAATACGAAGTCTATAAAAAAAGAAAGTAAATTTATATGGGTATAATATTACAATATTGAGTGTTACCATTGCTTGGGCAAACTCTTGAACTTGAAGCCATTCTTCCACATTCAGCACCCCAGTGGTAGTTGCTAATGGGAGCATGCTGGTGACCTCGTTCATGAACGTGTCCTCCAACTCTCCCGTCAGGCGGCAAACTGACATCTCAATTTTTCTAACCGCCACCTTACACTCTCTTAGCGCCTTCGTCTGAGCCATCGCCTCCGGGTTCTTTTCGATCTGGTGAAAATGTTTTACATTAATAAATGTGTAGGAGTAAAATTACCACATTCTTACACTTATATTTATTTTCTCTAGCTCCTTAGCTATCTCCTCTTGGTTGGCTACAATACTAGCCAATCCCTGGCTAAGAATGGCTTGATTTTGTATTACAGTCGTTTGCTTAAGTATGAGAAGTATTTTTACAATGAGAAAATACATTTATCAAAAACAGAAACGCGAATTACATTTTCCTCTAACTTTGCCAGCCGTGCGTTGGACTCCTTTTGCCTATTCAGGACTTCCCTCAAAGCTTTCAGAATATCTTAAACGAAAATATCAAATAAATAATTAATTACTATAGGCGAAATTCGTT